GTATATATCAGAGGATACCGTATATATCAAAGGATACCGTATATATCAAAGGATACCGTATATATCAGAGGATACCGTATATATCAGAGGATACCGTATATATCAGAGGATACCGTATATATCAGCGGATACCGTATATATCAGAGGATACAATATACATCAGAGCATACGTATATATAAAAGGATACCGTATATATCAGAGGATACCGTATATATCAAAGGATACCGTATATATCAGAGGCTACAGTATATATCAGAGGATACCATATATATCAGAGGATACCGTATATATCAAAGGATACCGTATATATCAGAGGATACCGTATATATCAGAGGATACCGTATATATCAGAGGATACCGTATACATCAGAGCATACCGTATATATCAAAGGATACCGTATATATCAGGGGATAAGGTATATATCAGAGGATACCGTATATATCAGAGGATAAGGTATATATCAGAGGATACCGTATATATATAAGAGGATATCGTATATATAAAAAGGATATCGTATATATCAGAGGATACCGTATACATCAAAATATACCGGTGGCTTCTCGTGGTCAATACATCATAAAGCATTGGTGGTCAACTTACTTGATGTAGGGAGCCTCAAGTGTGGCCCCCTAACATCACCACAGGGCCACGCATGATATTTAGTGAATGTAATGCTGCAGAAAGCTAGATCAGAGACTGAAAACAGACAACAGGAGATGGACAGAGACTACAGGAAATGGTCAGAGACTGGAGACATACCAAAGGAGATGGACAGAGACTACAACATGCTACATGAAAATGGACACCGGAATAAATCTACAGGAGATAGTCAGGGAGACATGCTACTAGACATGATAGGAGGCTGCAGACATAGTACAGGAGATGGATAGAGACTGCAGACATAGTACGGGAGATGGGCAGAGACTGCAGGCATAGTAAAGGAGATGGGCAGAGACTGCAGACATAGTACAGGAGATGGGCAGAGACTGCAGGCATAGTAAAGGAGATGGTCAGAGACTGCAGGCATGGCACCGGAGATGGTCGGAGACTGCAGACATACTATAGGAGATGGTCAGAGACTGCCTGCAGACATACTGTAGGAAGCCAGAACTTCTAATCTGTGCACTAGTTCTCGGGTCAGAAATGAGTGAAGCCATTGGATATGACAGCCAGCATTTTTAAGAAGGAGAGGGCAGTAACTCACAGGCACAGACACTCTCATGTGTTCCTCTATAATACAGGTTTGTGCTGCCTCTGGTTGGTTGTGTTCAGCCTGTATTGACTCTTTCCTGTCATGGCCGCCCCACATTTACATTCTTTTTTATACATAATAAAATGCAGATTTATAGTTTACATCAAGGGAAGAAATGAAATTTGCGGTCCATGTGAAAAGCCATATAATCTGTCACTTTCCGAATAACAGACAGCGTAGCCTGCGACTGGCCCATAAATCTCAGGAATTCCATTCGCAGCATTTCACTCGGAGATTTTGTTAAAGATCAGCTGCATTGTGTCACTTCAGATTGATACATTGTATGTAGATAAAAGAAGAGCATCTGTTGGGTGATATTAGGATCGGCTGAAGTGTATCTAAGCCCAAACCTTGGGTTTTAGTTCTGGATAGGAGTAGGGAAAGGTTAAAGCTCCCCCTCCACCAACATCACCCACAACCTTGAGATTTCAGTGCAGTGAACAGGAAGTCACAAGCATGTGGATTTCTGGCAGGATCAGCAGGTATTTTTATGTACTTGCAGGAAATGTATTTAGCCTGAAAAAAGAAAACTAATTCAGCCACCACCTTTAAAGATTGGTGCACTGCAATATATTAGATATCTGATCTTGGGTTTAGCTACACTTTAAACCTTACGGTGCATAAAGGGGGAAGCTGGCAGTGTGCAGTAAAAAAATATAAGACTGAAGGGAAGGACGGAGGTCAGATATAAGACTGAAGGGAAGGACGGAGGTAAAATATAAGACTGAAGGGAAGGACGGAGGTCAGATATAAGACTGAAGGGAAGGACGGAGGTCAGATATAAGACTGAAGGGAAGGACGGAGGTCAGATATAAGACTGAAGGGAAGGACGGAGGTCAGATATAAGACTGAAGGGAAGGACGGAGGTCAGATAGAAGACTGAAGGGAAGAACGGAGGTCAGATAGAAGACTGGAGGGAACGACGGAAGTCACATATAAGACTGAAGGGGAGGACGGAGGTCACATTTAAGACTGAAGGGGATGACAGAGGTCAGATAGAAGACTGAAGAGAAGGACAGAGGTCAGATAGAAGACTGAAGGGAAGGACGGAGGTCAGATAGAAGACTGAAGGGAAGGACGGAGGTCAGATAGAAGACTGAAGGGAAGGACGGAGGTCAGATAGAAGAGTGAAGGGAAGGACGGAGTTCAGATATAAGACTGCAGGGAAGAACGGAGGTCAGATAGAAGACTGAAGGGAAGGACGGAGGTCAGTTAGAAGACTGAAGGGAAGGATGGAGGTCACATATTAGACTGCAGGGAAGAACTGAGGTCAGATAGAAGAGTGAAGGGAAGGATTGGGGTCAGGCACAAGACTGAAGGGGAGGCCAGAGGACAGATAGACAAACTGAAGGGAAGGACGGAGGTCAGATAGAAGACTGAAGGGAAGGACGGAGGTCAGTTAGAAGACTGAAGGGAAGGATGGAGGTCACATATTAGACTGCAGGGAAGAACTGAGGTCAGATAGAAGACTGAAGGGAAGGACGGAGGTCAGATAGAAGACTGAAGGGAAGGACGGAGGTCAGATAGAAGACTGAAGGGAAGGACGGAGGTCAGATAGAAGACTGAAGGGAAGGACGGAGGTCAGATAGAAGACTCAAGGGAAGGATGGAGGTCAGACCGTCAGATAGAAGACTGAAGGGGAGGACGGAGGTCAGATAGAAGACTGAAGGGGAGGACGGAGGTCAGATAGAAGACTAAAGGGAAGGACGGAGGTCAGATAGAAAATTGAAGGGAAGGACGGAGGTCACATATAAGTCTGCAGGGAAGAACGGAGGTCAGATAGAAGAGTGAAGGGAAGGACGGAGGTCAGATTTAAAGCAGTGAATGGCATCATGAAGATGGTTACATATTGGCTGAAATGGGATGTAGCTGTAAATATTTTGGATATGAATAATTATAATTACAAATATACAATTGTGCTGTCAATCGTTTTGATACAATTATATAACCTGAAAAATATTTTGATTCTCAACTATTCTCCTCTGCTGTCTGCTTTAGAGGGACGGACCGACCAGAGCGCTGGCGATCGTGGAGGACCTGCTCACCTCGGAAAGAGAGTAAGTACCGGAATTGAATTTACGATCTTTAAACGCAGAAGCTAAAGAAAGAAATACAAAGCAAACTGTTTTTGAAAAAATTAATAAATAAAAGTAATAAATAGACATGCAAGCTGCGGAAAAATTTGATTCGGATATTTCATTATTTCCGGATTCGGATCCGAATTTCCGAACTGCATTGGGGAGCTCTCGAAATGCCATTCGGGTCTGGGAGCCATATACACATATTACTAAAGCTGAGCCTCCCAGACCCAAATAGCATTCGGGAGCTCCCCAATGCAGTTCGGAAATTCGGATCCTGGATGCCATTGGGTTATGGGAGCCTCAGCTTTAGTATTATATGTATATACTGTGTATGGCTCCCATGTTGCCGTAACGAAAATTCGTGTTCAGACCCATTGGAATGCATCAAACCGAAAAACACATTTTTGCCCAGAAAAGTCACATGTCCGATTACGTTTTGCTTTTAAACGGAATCCGAATAGGATCCGAAATTCAGAAACGGAAATTCGGATTTGGACACATTCAGATGCATTGGGATTCGGAAATTCGGATGTGTCAGAATTTTGATTTGGAACGAAACTAATTGCACATGTCTAGTAATAAATGAACACACCTTCATAAAAGAAATAATGAGCATGTATTGTTTCTTTGCATTGGAGCCAGTAAAGCATTGCACTCATGATTAGTGGATGGTGGGTGCAATGCTCTGGCTCCTGCAGACTCTTCCTCCTGTCCATGTCTGTACCTCAGTATGGACATTCAATAACATGGACTCCAAATTCAAAAATGCATTGAAACCTTACAAGGGGAAAAATGCTTGTCAGCGCACAAAGGGAAAGCACGTTAATGTGTGACATTGCACCTGCCCAACGCTACAGAAAAACCACACCTCTACTCATACACATAAATGGGCCCTCAAAGACCTGCTGTGTAGAGATGAGCCTGGGCTTGCTGCAAATCCAGTTCACCTGAGTTTGACCAAGCCCGCTCAGAACTGTGACCGCCACTTCCCTCTCCCCAATCAGTGGCAGCTGCGGCAGCGGCATTCCCCGACCCTTTGTGACAGATTGCAGTATTTGCAGTTTTCAGACAATTGTTTTCAGTCAGTTGAGTTGTTGCATCGTGATTTCATTCACTGCTCCTCTCTCTCATTCCCAAGTCTATGGGGGTTATTCAGAAAGGAGCTGAAGGATATAGCCGTAGCTTCGGCTAATCCTTTGGCTCACTTTGGCCACCAGAGCCCTTCGGGTTCAGCCTATTCACAGTAGCCAAGCAGCTCAGCCGAGCCGAACGCATATGCTCGGCATCATTTCGGCTACTCACTCACAGCCGTTCGGCCCCTATGAGAATAAGGACGAGCAGCAGAGAATGAACTGCCGGGCGTTCAGCTCAGCCGATCCAGATTTTGGATCAGCTGAGTCGAAAGGGTCCTTCACTTTGGCTCAGCCTAATATGCTGAGCATCTTCGGCTGAACCGAAGGGAGCTGAAGCCAGCCGATGTACGGCTGCCGTCAGCTGTACTCGGCTGAAGTGAATAGCAAACGGCGTTCGGCTGCCTTCACTTCAGCTTGGTTATTCTGCCTTTGGCAGCTGACTGAATAACCACCTATGAGTCAGATCTGACCTGCCTGAAAACAATGAGATCTCTCTAGGATTAAGTGAGTTTATCTCAGCCGTTCTCTGTTGTTTGTTTTTTTAATATATGATTTATGTATATGTTATATCATGGACGCACCTGTTATAAATTTAGATTTTATTTGTAATTAATCGTTTCTATAAATATTACTTTATAATCTTCTAAACTGAAAAATAAAAGAAATCGGCCAAAATCAAATTGGAGGATTTAAGGCTTCATTCTGATTGGCTGCTGTGGGCATCACGGATACTTTTATTGAACAAGGTTTGCTGTGTTTTACCTTCTGTTGGTAATTATTACTTTCTATTCCAGGTATGTGGAAATGCTGAGACACTTGCACACTGTAAGTAAACTCATATTTTCATCTAATTAACGTTGCAATGTCTAATTTTACATTGTTTTCAGTTTTTTGGCACCTGCTGGGATTTTGGACCACTCATCTATTGCTTATAGTGTAGATCTCGGTGGTCCCAGCAGCTCAGTCTCTTTGGCAGAGGTGCCAAGTCTGCCCCCTGGCTGTGGGAGTGTAAAGTGGTCTCAAGATGAGGCTCCTCCCTCTCCCGGAAGAGTCAGACTCCATGGAAAGGGTTGTGTTCGGCATTCTATCTGTTTGATCTCAATGCTAGAGACCCCAAAAGAAAAAAAAGATGATGATTTGATGCTACAGACTGATCCCATAGCTTAAGGATGAGTTTTGGGTGGACTGACCATTTACGACACCAGCCAATGACGGGCTGACAAGCAGGACAAGAGTGTGTTTTAAAGTCAGTTGTATAAGGTACTTATGGGCCTTGTAGGATGTAAGGAGGGTGGATGCAGCAACACGATGACATCACTGCATGGATCAATGGGGTGACACAGATCAGAGGACCAGCAACAGGAAATAAGGGGATGACAGTAGCACTGGCGCGGATCAACAGGTCAACACTTTGCCTGGAGTTACACTTTAAATCCCTAGGATCAGCAAATATTGTCCTCCTACAAGAGTCATGTGTATCCTTCCTTGAATCTTGGTGAGCTTGGTGCCCTGAGTTCCCCTTTAAAGGAGAACTATGGGGTTAGGGCTTTTCCCCATAGTTCTCCTTAGGGTAACGGGAGGACACAAACTAGCATCCTCCCGTCACTCTAGGCTCGCGGTATAATGAGACGCCGCAGTATACCGCGAGCTGTTGCTCGCGGTATACTGGGACGCCGCAGCTGAAGCGGATCCCGACAATTATGCCGGGATCCACCCAGCTGCGTGACTGACAGCTGGCTCTGCCTATCTAGAGGCAGAGCCAGCTGTACCCGCCCCGTCCGTTCCGCCAGTCAGCGCTGGCAGGTCGGATCGGGGAAGGGGGAATCCAGCCCCTCCCCTGTCACGGCAGAGAGCCGTGACAGGATCGAGAGGTGAGCGAACGCCGGTATGTGTTCCCTCACCTCATGATCTACTGAGCCGACCTGTGACAGTCTCATTGTCACAGGTCGGCTAGAACTATGAGGTGAGTGAAAAGCACACCCCTCATGGTTCTCCTTTAAGGATCCCATAGAAATCAGAGGACAGCTATTTTTGGCTGGGTTGGTTGATGGTGTTGTGTGTCTGTTTGGTCCTCCTGGGAACCAGCAATTGAACTATTCTGATTTCTACTGTCCCCACCATTGGGGGGTTAACATGCTGCCATCTTTTTCATCTTCACATATTCTAAAAGGGTCAGCAGATTCAGCTTTCCAAGCTTATGATGCACCCTAAGTGTGTGCTGCCAGCACAACTGAACACCCTCTCCAGTCTATAAGCTCCAGTCTAGTGGCTTCATCTAGACTCTAACTTCATAGCAAGTGACAAGGTGAGGCAGAGTTTACACGATTGTGTCATCTCTGAGCCGGCATCTCAGTCTAGGAAGTAGATGTGACCCCGAATGATGCCTGGAGAAAGATGGCACCTTCCTTCTGGAGGAAAAAGCAGATAAAGGCATTGTCAGGGGCAGTACTGTGATCTCTGTGAGGGATAGTAAATACCTAAAAGCATTACATTGACACATTATTATGAATATATGCACTTAACATGAAAAAATATAACTGATGATAGATCCACTTCAATTAATATCACTCATCGGGGACTGCAGAAAGGAAGAGACTTCACCCAAGGATGGAGGCATTTAAATCTCAGTGAACTTTTGCATCTCCTGCTCACTCTTATCAGTTACACTGTCCGGGGTAGTGACATGGAGGATGGAAGTGATCACTGAGGGGACATGTTAATAATGCATGTTACAGCCACAAAGTGATTTAATGTGCTGAACACTGAAAGCGCTAAAGACGTTGTCACATGCATAATTGAAGAGACCATTACACTGATTGTGGCCAGGACGAGGTGAGATGAATGGCGTTGAATGGACACACTGGGAGAAGTCCTGTCTGAAGGTGCCGTATATTGTGTAAGTGGCTGGGGGAAGATAAGGGAGATCTATGTGGAATGCTGGGGGTCATACTAAGGAGGAGCTGTATATATTGTTCTGTAGATTGAGATAAGAAGGATAGATGTGTCCTCATGAATATTGCCGAGTTTTGGCCTAACTGGACCTTTGAGTATGGGAAGCCTGATAAAGGCAAACAGCGCTCGACATTATTGCTTGTTGGTTGAGTTATTTGGGTTCTTTCTGACTCCCCAGGCTGGGCAGTGACTCCAGATATTGAAGGCTGTAGAGGGCTACCATCTTGTTGTGTGAGCAGACCCAAGCTACAGAGAAGGGTGAAGCATCACAGTTGGGCTGATGTTGTGGCTAGTTCCAGTGCTCCAGTGGCTCACTCATTGATGGGTATATACTCCCCTACCCTGATGGTCCTCAATGTTTGTATACCTCTGACCATCATACCTATAGAACTTGTTGGACATGCCATTCAAAAACCATGGACATTAATATGGTGTTGGACCCATTTGTAGCTAAATAACCTCTAACCTAAGGCTTCACACAAGGTGGTGGAGGTGTCTGTCGGAATTTGTAACCATTTGTGAGGTCAGGTACTGCTGTTGGATGAAGACCTGGATCACGTAGGGTTAAGGTCACGGCTCTGTGAAGGCCACTCAAGTTCCTCCACTCCAAACTCATCAAACCATGTACACAGGAGGACAGTCATGGTGGAACAGAAAAGGATCTTCACCAAACTTTTACCACGAGGTTGGAAGAGCACAATTGTCTACATTGTCTTTGTGTGATGTACAGTAGTATGAACAGGACTCTTCACTGGAGACACCTGAACTCCATCATTCAGAGGGTTGTCCACATACCTTTGGCCATATAGTGTATCTGCAGGTCTATGGCTTCCATTCCTTTTCATAGAATACATTATACACACAATACAGTTGCATCATTGTAGCGGTTTTCCTCGTTTCCATTGTACCCCTGGTTCTTTCATTCCATGTCAGTCCGGATTCTGCCTTCATTTTGTGGCAGGCATTGCTACCAACTGTTCTTCAAATCTATGGTATGTGAACGATGTGACCACACTGCCCACACTCTTCCCCTTCACTATTCAAAGTAGAAAAGCCTAAATCTCTGCACTGTGTTTCATAAACAGTTTCAGCTCTTTAATAAAACACTGCTTCTGTCCTTTTGCTTTCATCCTTTTTTGCATATCTGTGCTGGCGATCTCCCGCATACACTTGGCAACCAATTCTTGTCTACATGCACGCCAGCGTTGGCATATCTCAGGGCAGGTTTTGCTGATGGTGAGAACAGTGGACCATGCCTGCATCAGGTGTGTTAAAACAGGCATTTGTAGTCGTCAATTGGATGGGGTGACAACAGAGGAGCACAATTGGGAGACAGGGACAGCAAAAAGTTTGCCAGCACACTCACCAGCCAGCATGCAAAAAAAAAAAAAACGGTCTCACCGCTAAGGTTAAAAACAGAGGTTTTAGATACACGTCTTCTGCAGAATATGTGAAAGCCGCACAGCCGCGCCAAGGCTCATCTGTGTAGTGCGGTCCTTACTCTAACCTATGAGAGTCTCCATCTTGGAGCACAGGTAGCATCAGGTGTGTTGAAACAGGCATTTGTAGTCGTCCATTGGACGGGGTGACAACATAGGAGCTCAATTGGGAGACAGGGACAGGGTGTTGCCACCCTATATCAGGAAGTGCCTTAACAAGGACCTCCATGGCAGGATCACCAAGGATTCATATTAAACCTTAAAATGGCTGTTGAAATGACATTAATATGTTAAAGTAGAACTCCTGGCAAACAAAAAACTTACACTTGCAGTGGATACCACACACTGCAAGGGTTAAGTGCTAATTTTTTCTAGGGGGCTCAAATAAAGTAGTATTACTCACCCAATCCTCTGACACACCGGGCTGGTAGACTGGTCCCTACAGCCTCTTCTCCCCAAGGCTCCGATCATCATCACATCTTTTGCAGGTCCATTGACTTGCATTGGATGTAAGGACGCCAAGGCCAGAGCAGAGGGGGAGAGAGGTGAGCGCTGACCACCGTGGGACTGAGGATCAGGTGAGCATGTCTGCTTTATGTTAGCCCCCTGGACAAAAACATACAATTAACCCTTGCGGTGCAGGGGTAGCCCGATTGGAGGGCTAAGGACCCGTAGTCCTTCTTTAAAGCTTATATGAGTCTTTCATGATTGGATTTACTAGCGACGCTTGTCTCTAACTGTCACTTAAATGTGCGCAAAAATGAAAGTCACTGAAGCAACACGAGATGCAATTTCTCCTCCACCGGAAAATGCTAGCTGCCTGGCTGTTATGCCGACTTCAGTGCTCAGAGTCACTGCTCTGGTAGAAATACAGAGATCAGGAAAACCAGACGTCCCTGTCTGCATGGCTGCCACAGCTTAGTGACTCGAAATATTCATCGGTTGAAATGGCTTCTTTGGCCCTTTAAACCAGCCCAGTGGTCTTTAAACTGTATGCCATGTGCCCGGTGGGCGTATATTTACATGCTCAGAAAATATGCGTTCTCATGTGACCTCTGACACCACAACAACAACAGCCTACGAATTGTGTGTCGCAGACCCCGGGGTATGAAGGAATTCGTCTACGCCATTCCCTGCTTTGCATAATGTTTCCTACGCAGCCTCTAATGTCACATTATCATTGCTGCAGCGGCCCGAGCCCAGACCCGGGAGCCCGGCCGGTGACGCTGGTGGGCCCCGTGGGCCGTCACTGTGCGCCGGCTGTTTCATGCTAATGCGCAGCGAAGGCCCAGCGAAGGCCGGCCAGCTTGTATCCTGGCAGAGCGAGCGATCTGACACCGTCAACAGAGGCCTCATTCTCCTTCCTCCGATGAAGCCGGAATCCCAGGCAGCTGAGACCCGTCCTTTTCACTGACCTGCCGTATTCATTCTGCT